TAATCAACTCGACGGCAACAGGTTTGGTTTTTTGGGCTTATATATACACCAGAAAAACCAAACTCATTGCTGTCGAGTCGATTCTGATTCATAGAGACCCTACAGGGCAGAGTAGGTCCCATTGGGTTTCCTAGGCTGTCATTTTTATGGGAGCAGATCACCAGGTCTTTTCTCCCGAGGGGCGGCTGGTGGTTTCAAACCACCAACCTTTCAGTTAGCAGCCAAGGGTTTAACCACTGTGCTTAAGCACTGCACCACCAGGGTTCCTTACATAGAAACCAAACCCACTGCGTCGAGTCAATTCCGACTCCTAGCAACCCTATAAGGTTTCCAAGGCTGTAAATCTTTACAGAAGCAGACTGCCACATCTTTCTTCCATGGAGCAGCTGGTGGGTTCAAACTGCCAACCTCATGGTTAGCAGCCAAGCACTTTAACCACTGTGCCACCAGGGCTCCTTCCCTTATGTATACATACATTATATATGCTCTTTGGAATGTCTAAGGATTCACTATTCACTATAAAGTAAGAAGAGAAGGGAAAGAAGGGACATGGAGGGAGATGAGAGCAAGAGGGTTGGGGTCTGGCACTCACTGAGGATGTAGCTTGTAGAGAGTCCCATCCACGCCCACGGTCACTTTGAGCGTGTCCAGTCCACGGTTTTCTCGTATTTTATCCACCACAGCGGCCATGCCTGCACCACAGAGCTGAGCCGCCCGCCGCGCCACCACAGCGCACACCTCCTTGACAATGATGCTGTCATCGCAGGTGCTCTCGAGCCCCAAGTGCTGCAGGATGGCACGGACCTGCAACAGTGCCAGGCAGTCACTGGCGGGAGGGAGACAGCAAAGGTCAGTCATCTGCCAGAGGGCTGCACGGCCCCAGCCCTCCCCACCGCAAGGGCCCAGCTCTCCTATAGAAGAGGCTCCGTGGGGCCTGGCCATATGGGAGCGGGCGTAAGGCCACTTTCCCTGCAAGGTTTCCTGAACTCAGTCCCCTGCTCATCCCACTATCCACATCGACCCTTCTCAAGTCTGACGAGAAAACAGCTCCCTGTTCCGGTCTACGCAAGCAAGGTCGGGTGTTGCTACTATAAAACTGATTTTTGAAACAAAAGAAAATTCACTATCTACGGATGCCACTCCTTTGGAAATAATAAAGACAGTGACGATGCCTGAATGCCACGGTTCCCAGACGCATAGCTCTTTCCCATTCATTCTCCCACTGCTGTTCCCAGGTCAGCAAGACAAGCATCACCAACCAGCAACGGACCTCTGTTCTACTCCCCCCACACTCGGTGGTCTGAAATCTCCTTGTGTACTATTTATGAAACAAACGTAAATAAGAGAAGAAAACAAACCCTAATATAAACAGGACTATTTTAGAACCCTGGATTCTTCTTCTTGCACAAAAACAGACATGCATACTAGAACACATTCTTTCTATTCAATGAAGCACAAGCCTTGGGGACTACTCATGCCAGCCATCTAGTTCCTGGCTTTCCATGTGTCTGAGAGTAATGACACAGTATTAATTTTTAAAGGGCTCTGGAAGTCCCTGCTCTAATTTAGAGCAGACTCTTCTGCCTTAGACTAGAGAGGGGGCTGGGCTTCACGAGCAGCTGCAAGGCATGTTTCTGTATTGCCTGAGGGTCTAACCTTCACTAAGTCCAGATCACCTTACCACCCCAGCCAGCAGTTAGGAAGAACCCCCAAGTCAAGCACAAGTACTTTTAATAGGTTACCCTCCTCTGGGCATTTCAATTTACATCCTAGGGGCAGGTATCTTCCTGCCTTTGATATTTGGTCTAAAACCCAACAATATTACTCTGCATGGGCTCATGACAACGTCGCATACAGTGTTCTTCATGAAGATGTTATATACTTGCCCTTAAAATGTCAGCTGTCCATCTTGTTAGTTGCCGCCATGAATGTTCCAACTCATGGTGACCCCATATACGACTGAATGAAATGTTGCCGATCCTACACCATCTTCATGATCACTGGTATGTGTATCCTTTGTTACAGCTATTGTGCAGTGCTTTCCAACCTAGGGGGCTTATCCGTCAGCACCATATCAATGTCCTGTCTGATCCATTGGTTTTCATTGGCTAATTTGCAGAAGGAGATCACCAGGCCTTTCTGCCATGTCTGTCTTAATCTGGAAATTCTGCTGAAGAATCTGCCCACCACAGGTGATCCTGCTGGTATTTGAAATACCGGTGGCATAGCTTCCAGTATCATAGCAACACGCAAGCCCCCACAGTAGGACCAACTGTCCATAAGAAGGTCCTTTAAACACTACAGGTATAAATGCATTAGCTTAATTAAACTGACCTGTATGTAAGCCATGCCCTGATCTTACATGAGCTGTGGAAATCCTTCAGCTTGTCTCTCCATAAGAAGAAAGAAAGACACATTCCCACCCTACCACAGACCTAAAACTCTCACCTCTCAATCTGAGACAGGAACTTGGTTTCAAAGATTCCCCTTGTCTTGAGTCGCTCTGAGATGCGGCCTCGGAAGAGGAGTCCACGCTTGGTGAAATCGATGAGGATGTTGCGAACAATCTCGCCCAGGTACATGCCACTGATCATTTTCTCGAACCTGCAATATGGGTAATGTTTATGGAATTAAGTAGGAAGGTGGTGAGATGTATTGAGACAGGGCAGACCAGCTCAGTCACCCCCATGCATTAGAAAGGGGAGGGCATACAGTTCCCCTTGGAGGAAGAGAAAATGCTACTCCATTCACTTGGGCAGGGTTCCTGGTATCCACTCACACTTGCCCACCACCAACACCTTCAGCATAACTGAGCCCCGTGCCTGAGACTCATGGGGCTCCCCAGGATCAGCCCCACCTTCTGGGCTCATTTCCTTTCCGAGGCTTATTCCGAACTCCTCAAGAAAGAACACACACCTTCACCCCCACCACATTTCTAGGGAGAAGGGTAGGATGCCAAGTCTTAATGCCTAACTTCACTTGGCATTTGCATGCTTTCTCTTTGACCCAACAGCAACTAACAACAACTCCTTTGTTCAGTAAGAGCTATCTTAACATCTTGAGAGAGAACTAGGATCCTGCGAAATGCTACTGGAGAGGATCCAATCCCACATCACTGTCCAGGCCTGGGGTACATGTAACAGGACCCACGTGTGGTTGGGTGCCTACCTCTGTTTGCCAGGGTTGAGAGAAAGCTCATCCACGGCCACATCAAATTCAGTGCAGAAGTCGTCTAGGCATCCATTGTCCCCAAAGGCACCCCACTCCATGTTGACACACATCCGCCCTTCCTCCCCTTCCACCAGCTCCACATTCCGCATCTCCTCCATGTAGCAAGCATTGCTGCCCGTGCCTGCCAATCAGAGACATCCAGCCATCTTCCTACCCATCCAAGGCTATGTATCCTGTGTAGTAAGTAATTTGCCTCACCTAAAGACAGGTTGGGCTTTTGTCTTGATTCCTAGGGGGTAACCTCTAAAGCCTTGGGATTGGACGCCTCCGTTATTCATGATTATTATATTCATTGTTATTATTCAATAGTTTATGCTAAAGAGAGGATTCAGGCTGGGGGCTGGCCACACCAAAAAGACCAATCATGTGATTAGAGGGGTGGGGCTTTGGGCCATGTAATACTGACCTAGAGGAAGACAGTTGCTGAAGACTGAGTTCAACTACATGAGCAATCAATCAATCAATCATGCCTACATAATGAAGCCTCAATAAAAACTCTGGCCACTGAAGCTCAGGTTAGCTTCCTGGGTTGGCAATATTCTGTGCACATATCGCTACACATCACCAGGAGAGTGACATGTCTCTGAGGACACAGAAATTTCACGTTTGGTACCCTCCCAGCCCCCAATTCTACTCTATGCATTTCCTCCTTTGGCTGGTTCTGATTTGTATCCTTTTGCTATAATAAAACTATAATCATAAGTATAGTGCTTTCCTGAGTTCTGTGAGTCGTTCTAACAAATTATCAAACCCGAGGGAGTCCATGGAAACCTCCAAATTTGTAGCTAGCTGATCAGAAGGGAGGGTGGCCCTGGGCATACCCTAACTTGAGGCTAGTGTCTGAAGTCCTGGGCAGACTTGGCAGCCTAGAGGACTGTGCCCTTAACCTTGAGTTCAGCCAACTCCGGGCAATCCCTATGCAGGAAGGACAGTCTGGGTCCTTACCAACGATGAGGCCGACTTCACAGTGAGGATCCTCATAGCCACAGGTCATCATCGTTCCAACTGTGTCGTTCACCACAGCGACCACGTCTAGGTCAAACTCCTGAAAGGGCAGAAGCAGATCCTCAGTCCACAAATGAACCACAATATTCTTACAATATTCTAGACACTTGCAAGGGAGATTTATATGAATATGAAATTTATCCTACACAGCATGGCTCATTTTCTCATCCCATTTAAGTCTCTAGTCAAATGTCACCTTCTCACAGCAGCCTTCCCTGACTACACTACTTAAAACAGTGTTCCTTCCCCAGTCCCACCCACACTATCTACCCTCCTCACTCAACTTCAGTTTTCTTCATAGTTCTTAATCGCACCTGGCATTAGATTGTGAGTTTGTTTTCAGAACGTATGCTTCACATAGGCCAAGACTTTGTTGTGGTCACTACCAAACCCTCAATGCCTTGACACACAGTGGACACTCAATAATTGCCCAATGACTAAGTTAATTCCTCGCTCAACCAATGCCATTACACTTAATGTCTCCTCACTTTCTGAACACACAGATAATTGTAGGCACTGGAGGGCTGAACCCAGGCCATGTCCCTCCCACCTCTCGCCGGTGAATCGCTTCCTTCAGCAGGGTGACCACGTCCTCGCCCTCGCAGCCGGACACCTTGAAGCCTTTTGTCCACTGGAGGAGGATGCTCTAAAAATGACACGTGATCAGGGTTGAGGGTTATCAGGGAACGGCTCCTGAGTCATTCCCAGGGGCCTGGCTGTGCTTCTAGTTCTCATCTTCACAGATGAGACAGATTCCCTGAAGTAACCAGTGATCTTGCCCACCGATGTTTGGAAACCCGTTTCTAAGGAGCACTTATTTTGGTTTGTTAAGCACCTACTCTGCACCAGGTACCCAGCTAAGCACATCATATGCATTACATCATTTAATCCTCACAGCAACCTTATGAAACATTCAACAATACCAACCCCCTTTTTCAGCAACTGAGGCTCTGAAGTAACTTACCCAAGCCTATAGCTTAGAGAGGAGGACTTCCCCCCAGATCTGACAACTCCAACACATGGGTTCACAAGCACCAGGCAGCGTCGTTCATCTTCTCACTTCATTCAAGTCTCTACTCACATGTCACCTCCTCACAGAGGCCTTCCCTGACTGAACTATTTACAATAGTACCCTTCCCCAGCCCCACCCACACTATCTGTCCTCAGCCAACTTCATTTTTCTTCATAGCTGTTAATAGCACCTGACATTGTTCTAGTCACTTGCTTCCTTCACTGTGCAAAGCAGCTTGCCCTGTGCCCTTACTTCAGAAGGGGCAGTGTGCATCTCTTCATTTCCAAATTCCAGTATACAGTGAGCAAGCGGCCTGCCCATAGCCAGGGTGACACCTGGGCTTCTCCCTCACCCCTCCAGGCTGCCCAGAGTCCTCTGTGGGCCCCTCATCATTAATGTGGCCTTTGCTATGTCACAGGGCCCCCTGGGAGCAGATGCATAGTGGCCTTGAACATGGGAGAGATATTTTCGGTTTTGTTCCCTGGTGTCCTCTCTGCTGCCGCAGCCCATCAGAAAACAAACGTCAGGGCCTCCCAGACCCGAGAGGTCAGCACCTATAAGTGAGCTGTGTGCTCTCACCATCCGCCTGCCTGCATGGTTTCTCCAGGCCTTGCTCTGTCGTTCATGCCCAGGCGTTTGGAAACATAAGCCCACCTGGATGTGTCTGACTGTGCTCAGATTCTAGGAGATTTGGAAAACAAAGGACAATCTGCTCAGAGTCCTGGGTTACACGTCTGCTTCCAGACAAGTGAGTGCTTACCTGTAACCATTTTTCTTATCGACAAGTTAGCTTCACATCTCTGACAAAATCTTCTGTTTGACAGTTTAAAGCTTACAGAATGTTCAAGTAACATAATCTCAGGTGATACTTAGTAATAAGACAAGCAGAGGCCCCAGCAGCTGGGGAAACTTGCCCAAGGCTACCAGCTAGTAAAAGCAGCTCTGGGACTCTAGGCTCAGCGTCCTGCTCAGCACCTGCTGATTTTCCCATCAACAGGATGATCTCACCAACGCCAACGTATAGACCCATCTCCAGCTTTATTTGCTCCTAATTTTTATGATTCTAGACTTAATACAAGTCCTCACAGAAACGTGGAAATCTAGAATAAAATAAAGTAAAAGGACCTATAATCTTATAATTCAGACAGAAATAGTTAACATGTTGTTATGGATTAAATTGTATCCCCCCAAAATACGTGTTGAAACTCTAACGTCTACACCTGTGGATGTAATCCTGTTTGCAAATAGGAGTCCCTGGGTGGTATAAACCGTGAATGCTCTCAGCTGCTAAACGAAAGGTTGGTGGTTTGAGTCCACCAGAGGCACCCTGAAAAAAAGGCCTGGTGATCTACTTCCAAAAAATCAGACATTGAAAACCCTGTGGAACACAGTTCTACTCAGACACACGTGGGGCTGCCATGAGTCAGAGTTGACTCAGTGGCCACTAGTTTGTCATGTTAGTTAGACCACACCAGAGCAGGGTGGGTTCTAAATCTAATCCCTGTGGTTATAAGTTATACAGTCCCTCAGAAACCATCACTTCTTCGCCTGCGTCCCTCCATGGGCGTCCCCTCCCACCCGTACACAGGCAGAGGGCAGCCCGACGGCCTGGCTGGATGAAGGCTGCCCCCAGACCCTGGGCGGACGGCAACTCCTTCTGGGCCGCTTGCCAGAAGACCCCAGGTGACACAAAGGCCCTGGGGAAAGGGAGTCTAAGGCAAAGAAGAAACAAAGTGGCAGATGCCACTTGTGGGTGAGCCAGAGCCTGGAGAGGAGCCCCTGGAACGTGTTCAAGAGGCCTGAGTGCAATGTGGTAGTGAAGGTCTTCAGGTAAACCTTCCTTAACGGAGCATTTCCCAAAATGTGCTCCAACACATGTTGATGGGCACTGGAAAGTGCTGGATTAAGCAGGGTTTTTATTGCACAACTTCCCTAAACCTTAACCATTCTATCGTACATGATGAATTTACCTCAGAGGGAGAAGACTACGAGGCACTTAGACAAAACTCAGTTGAGCAACCTGAGGGGTTGGTGTCCCAGGGACCCTGTGGGAAACGCTGGCTTTTCCTCGGCACTGGGGCAGGTGCCTCTGTTCCGGCTAAGCTAACTCTATCAGTGTTCGGCTGATAACTGAAGGGTCAGTGGTTAGAACCCACCAGCCACTTTGCAGGAGAAAGATGTGGCATCCTGCGGACTACAGCCTTGGAAACCCCATGGTGGCAGTTCTGCTCTGTCTTAGAGGGTTGCTATAAGTCGGAATTGACACAATGGCCACAGGTTTGGTTTGATTTTGCGTGTCTTCAGGGCTTCAGCTTCTCATTGGTGCCACGTTCCAAACAGCAGTTCTTACTAAGGCTGTTTCTTCAGCCCAGTGTGTGAGTATCTTGAAGCAGAAACCATGCCTTCTGTAGCCTGGTGACTGCGACCGCAGCATACTGTACACATGTAGCAGGCATGGAGGCTTCTAGACAACTGACAGAGACATAGAGGAACAAGTACTTACAGAAGACTATCCTGATACCTAACATGCCAACAATCAGCCCCGATCCAACCTCCAGCATGGCCTCGTCAGCCCTCACTCCACTTCTCAATACATTCATCTCCAGACTAGCTGGAGCTATTCTGGAATTTCCAGCCACCCGCTTTGTCCATCCAAGGAAGTGCAAAGGAAATGAAAACCAAAGGTGAGACTAGGGAAGAGTTAGGGCATCCAAGCAACAACAGGAGATGGAAGGAAAACTGTCCTGAGCCCAATACAAGGGTCTCAGGAACAGGACAGCATAATTGAGGGCATCGGCTCAGGTGTTCAAATCGTGGCTTGGACAGTCCCAAGCTATGTGACCTGGAGCAAGGTACCTGGCACCTCTGTAGGCCTTCTTTTCCTTTCTGCAAAATAGGCGTACAAACAACTACCTTAAGTGGTTGCTGTGAGGGTTAAACGAGATAATGCATATACAAAGTCTAGTATCATGCTAAAAATATGCTATTCGTTAATATTTTGATTAGCATCATCATCTTCGTCCTAGCCGAGCTAACCTACTCAACCTCCACCAGTCCTGACTTCCTCGTTCCCATCGCTAGGCCCCTCCTCCCCAATGATCACGCATGCCCTTCTTTCTCTCCTCTTAGCACAACTTTCTCCCCTGCCAAATTCCTGCTCCTCTGTGGATGCTCGAGAGTCAGCAAAGCCCCTCGGAGAGCCCCTCCCGGAAGGCACTGTTACCTCATCCAGTCTGTTCTGATGGCAGGGGAAGGAGAAAGTGAAACCCAGAGGCAGGGACACGCCCTTCATGCCCATGTACTCGAGGAAGTCGGCAATGCACTGGACGATGTGGTCAAAGAGCTGTGGGGAGAAGTCAGGGTGATGACGGAGGGGCTCAGGGCAGGCTGCCCCCTGGCAGGGCCTGAGCATGAGCCCCAGGCCTCTACCCAGGAGAAACGCAAGGCTCAGGTGCAAACCTGAGTGAAGGCCAAGCCGGGGCCCTAGGCCCACTAGCCCTCCCTGGGACCATAGTGAGCAGAGAAAGGGCCGTCCCCACAGGTGGATGTCTACTGGGCCCCCCTCAGCCCCCTGAAGGCACCACCTGCCTCACCTCGTCCCCTGTACCATGCATGACATCCTGCGGGATGGGGTAGATCTTGTTGTGCATCTCTACCCCACGCCGTTTCCCGTTCCGCACACGTACCAGCAGGACCCGGAAGTTCGTCCCCCCCAGGTCTAAGGCCAAGAAGTCACCTTTCTCTGGAAAATAAGCCAGGGAACATGATGAGTTGGGGCATCACCACTTCCCCACAGCAGAGAGTGCCAGGGTCTACAGCACCTTCCCCTGACGGGGGCCTCTCGCTGGAGCCCCTTGATAAGCTCGGGGGTGATGGACTATGATCCCCAGCTAATAGTAAAGACAAGTAAGTTCCCCAAGGCCAGACTGCCTTAGAGGTTCTCAAATAAGTTCAAGTGGTGGGACCCTAGAAGGCACAATGAGCTCTGCAGAACCCAGGAAATGCTGATACAGTACACATAAAAATATCCAAATGCACCATTCACGCTAAATCAAATGCCACCATATATTAGATTATTCTAGAATAGAGAAGGAACAGCAGAGCTCAACTCTTTAAGGAAAACTGAAGGGAGATCTTTTAAAATGAGAAAACCCTCCTTTGTGGGGCAATTACAATGTGCCAGGTGTTGTGCCCCATGCCTCACACACCGATTTCACTCAACCCTTAGGAAGGATTTCATTGCTCTTTTATGGAAAAATGCAGCCTGACCAAGCCAGGCTCAGTCACTCACCCAGGGCCACACATCTGGAACAGGGTAGAGCAGGGACCCAATCCCAGTCTCTGAAACCTGCTCATTGATCATGTTTCTCTGAATTGGAAAAGGGTCACAGTGTCTTAGGTTAGAATACCTAGCCCAGGGATCAATAATCTTTTTCTATAAAAGGCCCGGGAGTAAACATTTTAGGCTTTGTGGGTCAAACAGTCTCCATTACAACTACTCAATTTTGTCATGGTAGCACAAAGCAGCCACAGACAATATGTAAACAAGTGGGCATGGCCAAGTGTCAATAAACCTTATTTACAAAAACAGGCAGTGGGCCAGATTTGACCCACGGGCCAGAGTTTGCTGACCCTTGAACAAGGCCAATGTGATGGTTCAGCGAGCTGGCCCTGGAACTTCCTGGGTTTCAATCCCAGATCTGCCCTTTTCTAGCTGTGTGACCTTGGACAGGTTTCTTAACTTCTCTGTGCCTCAGTTTTCTGGCAAGCATATCAATGTCAACAGTGAATAAAGATTAAATGAATTAAATATTTGTCAAGTGCTCATAGAAGTGTTTGACATATAGTAAGCATTCAGTAAGTATTGACTATTATTACTCTTCCATTTTTAGCGGAAGAATGCCTAAGTCAAGCTTATTAAAAAAAAAAAAACCTGTTGCCGTCAAGTCGATACCGACTCATAGTGACCCTATAGGACAGAGTAGAACTGCCCCACAGGGTTTCCAAGGAGCAGCTGGTGGATTCAAACTGTTGACTTTTTGGTTAGCAGCCATAGCTCTTAACCACTGTGCCACCAGGGTTTTGGTCAAGCTTATAGATCAATAGAATTCCCTAGTAATACAGTCGAAGAAGCATGTTCAGGTCCAATGCTAAGGCTAAGGGAGCTCCCCTAGAGCATCAACACAGCCCTGCTGTGTACCTGTGCCATCAGGGGTGGCACACACATAGGTGGGCAGCATCTTGACGGGGGCATTGGCATGCGTCTCCTTTCTCAGGCCTTGCTCCATTTCCACCTTCATCCTCCTCTTGACCTCTAGCAGCTGCTCACGGCTCAGCATCAGAGGCTCCAGGGTCTTCTGACGGGCTCGGTGTTGATCAGCCAGCCGGTAGGCCACCGCTGTCACCATGGCCGCCCCCTTGCCACTGCCATCCTCGGAGCGGAGAAAGCGGACATCACAGTCGGGCACCAGGCGGCGCACGGTCTTGTGAAGACGCTTGGCGAAACTGCAGTCACCAAGATGGGGAGACAGGAGCCCATGGTTAGGGTCAGTGGTGCGTTTGGTTGGGCAGGAGCTCACCACCTCAGCCCAAATGCCATGAGCACCTGTAGGAGCAGATGCTGGCCTAAACATACCCTCCCCTTCTACCCCAAGGTAGGGGTCACCGTATAAAAACTGATATTCAACCGTGATGATTCTGGCTAGGTTCTTTGACCCCCATGCTGAAACGAAAGGACCCCTCTAAGAAGCCACTATCCCCCACATGAGGTCACATAAAACCTCCCCTTCCTAATCGAACTGGCCCACTGGCTCGTCTGCCCAGCATAGGTACAGTCGGCTTCTTTGCTGAAGCAGCCCCGGTGAAATCAGGTGATTCCAGCTCCATTTTTCATGTTTCATCACTCATTTCATTAGATCCTGCCTGGGAAAGACCCAAAATAGAGAACCTAGAAATTCTTCTAGACATGGTCCTCTCTTTGGTGAATTTCTGCCAATGATCCTAAAGTGGTCTGAAGAGCTGAGGACACTAGTCATGTTCAGCAAGAAGTTCTCTGGGAGGAGGCTGCTTTGAGCCCTGGTCTCCAGAGCCTCACTACTCCAACTGTGGTCTGTGGCCTGCAGCATCTGCATCACAGTTTCTCTCTCCTGCTAGAAATGCAGGATGATCTCAGGCCCACTCTAAACCTTCTGGACCAGAGTCTGCCACTTGAAAACATTCTGGGTGATTCATGGGCACATTAATGATTTTGAAGCACTGGGCTAGGAGACTGGGAAATCTCAGGGCTGGGGCCTTCTGCATTAAACAATTAAGTTAATGATGGTGCAGTGATCTGGCACTCATAAGACGTAAAAGACTTCTCCTAGATTCCAAGTGAAATTTGAAAATTTTGGCACATATGACCCAAAGATCAAGGCAAGGTAGGATCAATTCAATACCAAGGCCACCCGAGGAAGTTGGCAACTCACTAGACTGGGGCAGCCCCTGGAAGAGGACACGGCACCTGAAGGGATCCCCAAAGGTCGTGAGGGAATCAGAAGAGAAAGAAGTAGATAGAAACATTAACTCCCACAGAAGGGTGGCAAAAAGACCCCCAGTGGCCAAAGGAACTCAAGTAGAGCCCAAGCCATCAATATCCTTCAGAAACCACCTCCTTCCACAAAGGAAAACACCTTCCCAGTTTCCAATGGCCCTTTTGGGCTCTTAGCCCTTTTATTCTACAAAGACTCTCAAATCCATGGTCCATCTACACCCCTAGAATGCAAAACGGAGCTGGCCTGTGCTCATGGAGTCACTCAGGTCTCCTGAGCTTGTCAGAGGTCCCCAGGTGCTCTGGAGTTCAGCCTCGCCCAGTCCCCTGAACGCTGACTCACTGGGGGTGTTTCTTGTAGACGGAGCCGTCAACCCCAATGGTGGACCGCAGCCGCTCCTCTCCCTTGTTCTCCTTGATGCGCCGCAGCACGGCCGCCAGAGTCGCCCCACACAGGTTGGCTGAGCGTGTGGACACAATCTGGCAGATCCGGTGAGTGGCCACACAGTCTTCCTGTGTCGGATCCAGTCCCAGTCGCACAAGGGTCTCTCGGGCCTTCCAGACACCGTCCTTCTCCCTGGGGAAACAGAGAGAGACAGCATGTGGGCACTGTGTACAGCCCATTGTGGTCAGTGGGAGAGGGGGTATGTGGGCTGGCAAGGAAACCTGTCAGCTCAGCACACCCTACCTCCTAGGAAGAATAGACACACACTTCATGCTCTGCCACCTATAGGGGGTAGAACACCACTTATGCACATACTATGTAAGGACAAGGTCCTATTCTTGGTCCTTTACACACCAAGTTGTGTGTGTGAGTTTGTGGTATGTTTGCTTGCTTGGGGGTAAGGTTGAAGGAAGGGTGTCTCTGCCACCAACCACCTCTGAACATGTGAATCCAGCCGTGGGGCCCACCATATTTCCCCGTGATAAAGCAGTAAGAGTCAATTTCCCACCACTCCTCCCCATGAACATCACAGATTATTGGCCTCTGGTATATCAGGTGAGAAGGACAAAACATGGGGGAGTGTTGGCTACCTATTCCAACTTTACAGGGTGAGGCAGCATTTCACAAGGGAGCTGGCACTGTCTACCTGTGCCTAAAGATGATGTTAAAGGACTTGAGTATGGCATAGCCCCCCTTCTTAGGCATTTAGGGGAACTAAGTGCCTCACAAATATGAGGACTTTCATCCCTTGGGGTATAGCAATCGAGTAGGCACAGTTCTTCCAAGAGTTTCCACTTAAAGCCAAGTCATTCAAACTATTTCATGGCTCCCATTAGCACCAGAATCACCTCTTCACCACCACCTGGTCCCTGAAGGAACAAGACCTCCTCAATCTTCAAGTAGAAGTCTCCAGTACAGGAAACTAGACCCCAGTCTTTGGATATTGTTAACTGAGTAATAAAAACAAAAATCAGTTCATCCCCCTCCCTACCCCTGCCAATCTGTAAAAACACAAGTTTCAGCTCTACTCAACAGAAGCCAGAAATAGGTAAAACTGTGGGGTACCCAAGGACCTATTTTTCTGTTATGAAGCAGAGGTCAGGATAGAGTCCTCTTTGAGAATGGTCAATAGGGAAGGAGATGTCAGAGCTTCAGGAGAAGGGAAAGGAAACAGGTGAAAATGAGTCATCAAGGGCAGGGCAGGATCAACTGGGAGCCTCATGCTATAAAACAAGGCCAGAGCCAGGCAGTCCCACAAGGGCAAGAGACGTGGTAGGACACACTGGTGGTTCAGTGGTAGAATTCTCACCTTTCATGCAGGAGACCCAGGTTCAAGTCCCAATGCAATTCCCAACCAATGCACCTCATGCATAGCCACCACCAGTCTGTCAGTGGCGGTTTGCATGTTGCTATATGCAGAACAGGTTTCAGCAGGGCTTCCAGACTAAGATAGACTAGGAAGAAAGGCCTAGTGGTCTACTTCTGAAAGTCAGCCAGTAAAAACCCTGTGAATCAAAATGGTCCAGTCCTGTTGTGCATGGGCTCACCAGGAGTTAGGGGCCAATTCGACAGCAGCTAACAACATCAGGGCAGTGACACAAAACCCCAGGCCCACCATGGCCTACATTGGGCAAGGCCCTCTGGTGGTCCACAATTGAAGGGTCATTCCCCAACTGCCTGTCTGCCCTCCCAGGGACCCAGTGAAGACGGAGGTGGCAGGGCCAGAAGCTTACCCTTCAATATCTGAAACATCCTTGGTCTCAAAGCGGCCTGTGATGAGGAGCTCTGGGCTGAGCTTCCCCCCGAAGAGCAGCTCCTCCTTGGCCATCTTCACTAGGATCAGCCTCACCAGCTCCCCCATGTACATCCCACTGATCATCTTCTCAAATCTGCAGGAAGACACAGATCCCCCGCAACAAGTCCCTGCTGTCAATGAATTCACAACTCCGGAAACAAGATGTATACATGTAAAGCTCCAACACACATTAGAGGCTGGTGCACAGCTAAGGGCTAATGTGTGCAGCACTTTTGAGGACTGAGATGTGTGGAGAAGGGACAGCTCAGCGGGGGCTGGAGGAGCTGGGGAGCTTGGGCTGGTCTCTGCAGGCTGTGTAGGCCCTGAACCATGCAGAAGAGGCCTTTCGGCAGCCAAACTAAACATCCAGGGAGTGCATTCTGGAACAGCCTGACTTTTTAGTTGAAGTAAGTTAACAAGGCTGCTAACCAAAAGGTTGGTGGTTAGAACCTACCCAGCAGATCCAGAGGAGAAAGACCTGACGATCTGCTTCTATAAAGATTACAGCCAAGAAAACCCTCTGTCTCATGGGGTCACTATGAGTTGAAAATCAACTCAATGGCATCTAACAACAACAATTTAATGTGTAGGGTAGTGATTTTTTTAATTTTTCTTTTGCAAGGAAATACTTTAAAGTAAAATCTTATGTAGGGCTCCAATATTTATTTTCAAGAAAAAAAGAGAGCCAGCCTAATGAAACGGGGGGCAGAGGCCAGTGACCCTCAGCCCACACCGCCCCTCTCCCTGCCAGCCCTCCGTGGAATCCTGAGAACACAGTGTGGAAACAACTCAGGTTGGGGGCAGGTTGGGACAGATGAGCAGAGGCCTAAATATCACGCAGTCTCAGGAATCTGAGAGTGAGGCCCGGCGGAAGTTTCTGAGCAGGTAAGTGACAAGATAAAAGGCCTGTTAGAAAGGCAGGGGCCACCCACCAAGCTGAGGGGGCCATCAGGTAATTTATTTTTCCAACACTAGGTGACACTGTTTTCTTTTTTGAAAGAGTCTCTCTGGCTAGGAATATGACAGTGAAAACCCAGCCTTTGCAATTCTGTTTGGCAAAGCAGGCCCGTTTCTTATTATTTCACAGAGGATCTGTGTCCTAGAGAGAGGAGGCACCAGGGCTTGCCGGAACTAAGTAGAACGGGATGCAGCAAGGCCCAGAGCAGGGGAGTAGGTGGACCGGACGTTACCTACTGCCATTGACAACAGACGAAACCAATGCCCCCGGGAAGTGACCGGCTCAAGACTCAAAGGCTAAGAATGGCAGAAATGGAGCTAAATGGACAGCTGGCAAGTTGTCTGAACACAGGGTGCATTGAAAACGTTTAAGCGCCAGCACGGGAACAGTGCCCGGGCACAGCCCTGCATAAACAGTAGGAACTCTGTCTGCTTTCCCATCTTCTCCCACCTGAGCAAACCATAACGCTGGTTCTACAGGAGGTGAGGGCATGGAGGAGGCTAGGCTCTGGAGTGAGAGTGGCTTTTTAAAATTTTTACTGCAGTTTTTAAAACACTTTGTTTCAGTCAGCATTTGGAATATGTTTACGTAGAAACATACCAAGAGGACAGAAAGTTGTCGGTAATGACTACAGGGCTGCCATGGTTGACAATTTAGTATATGTTCTCCCAATCTCTGCTTTGTCTAAGGACAAGTCAGTGGTGTATTGACAAGGCTTAGTTGGCAATTTTGTCTTTTAACACTTCAAAGTTATATGGCTACTTGGAATGACTTGGGTGTGCCTCATTAACGGAGGCAGGTATTGAGTGACTTTTCACCCCATAAACCTCTCACCACCCAGCACAGACACAACCAGTGTGTTTCTAAGAAAGTTACAGGTAAACGAACTCACGTTTCACCATGTGAGAGAAACTTGTGACTTAAATAAGCTGTACTTTGAAGAAGCAAGGACTCCCCTGTAAAGAAAAAGGCTACCCACTGCTGTCTGGTTTATAGGGTTGGAATTCTCCTCTCAAAGTGGACTTCTGCACTGAAAGCTTTCCTAAACAACCATGGCCACAAGAAGATTCAAAACGTTTTGCAATGGCCTTCAGCGCCTGTAGCAATCACCTGTTTCAAGATCTTCATATGGCACACGTTTGTGAGAGGGAAATAATGTTTTTTGAGTCAAAAGTAACTAAAAACCAAGTCTGGACAGGCTGGAGAGTGTAGCATCCGAAGTGTTAGGGGCCCTCTCCAGTCCACCCCTGGGGGCTGATATAGATGGTTACATCCGAGGACAGTGTTTGGGCCACAGGGTGCGGGGAAAGAGGCCAACGGGAGTCCTTAACCAACTTTTCCAGTAGGCACTGGGTCGACCTGTAGCAGGGGCAAGAGGTCCTGGGACTCCTTGGGGTTCAGCCTAACTCAGCCTGAGGTCTGAGTCAGAATCTCAGCCAGTAAATTGGGAGCTGACTGTCCAAGCCTTGTCCTCTGGGCAGTGACAGGGTGGCAGCTACAAAAGAATATTGCAGAGACCCCAATCTTGGCCATCTCAACACGGCTTCTCTTATGTTGCTTAAAAAATGTTTCTATGGAAAATTTACAAATAGAAGACAGAAAGAAAAGAGCAGGGCCACACACTTAGAACACAATCTTTTAAAATGACTGGTCTGAAGGACATAGTCAAATTATTGGTGATAATCTGATTTATCTGCTTGCCCTATCTTTTTAGAGCCATCTCAGCAATTTATAGTCACAGTGTGCATAATAAACTCAGCATCCCCATAACCGGTGGGTGTCTTTGGCAATCCTTTAGGGATGTAAGACTGTAAAGAAAAGCATGAGGACCACCACTCAGCCCTGGCCCAGTCCCAAGCTCAGCTCCCGGGACCACCACCCCCAGCCCGAGCCCACTTGCACACAGGGGGTCCTGCTCACAGTTGCTTTCCAGGGTTCAGCGAGCCCATGTCGATCTCGTGGTCAAACTCGGTGCGAATGTCATTGAGCACGCCATCGTCCCCAAAGGCCCCCCACTCCATGTTGATGCACATTCGCCCCTCGTCGCCCTCCACCATGTCGATGTGGCGCATCTCCTCCATGTAGCAGGCGTTGCTGCCCGTGCCTGGCCAAAGCAATGGACTGCTCAGTGTCCACTCACACCGTCCTCTGCCCCCACTCCATGTCTTCCTTTTACCTCCCCCATCCTGCTCTAAGACCGCCCAAGTGGCTGGGGGTGCTCACTGCAGACTTCCACGGCATCCCAATACACATCCCAATCCTCTACCAGCCTGAACTCCACAATTAAACGGAACACCAATGGACAGGGCACGCAGCCTTCATGTGGCCCTGAGCATTTACACTGCACTTTCCTCTTGGCCCCTCAGCCAAATGCAGAAACTTAACGCTCTTGAAGGATGTCTCTGATACCACGCCACCACAAGCAAAAGTAGAATCACAGGGTCCTGGTTCAGCCTGCCAAAGTGACCACATCAAAAACCAAAACCAAACCCACTGCCATCGAGCTGATTCCCATCCATAGTGAAACTATAGGACAGAACAGAACTGCCCCTTAGAGTTTGCAAGGCTATAACTCTTTACGGAAGCAGACTGCCACGTCTTTCTCCCGCAGAGTGACTGGTGGGTTCAAATCACCGACCTTTCAGTTAGTAGCCAAGCGTTTAACCACTGTACCACTGGGGCTCCTTAGTGACTGCACCACTTATCTTCAAATATGAAGTTCAAAGGAACACCCAGGCTACCAACCCCTTCTCCCTTCCATTCCACACCCCCATCCACTGGCCAACACCAGCCCTCATGCCCCAGGGTTCACTCACCCACAATGAGACCGATCTCGCAGTTGTGGTCATCATAACCACAGGTCATCATGGTCCCAACTGTGTCATTCACCACAGCCACAACATCAATATCAAAGTCCTGTGGGGATAAAACAAAGGCTTCAACCATCACAGAAGGTTACAGATGTGAAGACAGAAAAAGCAGCATGCCACACAGCTCAGGTGCAACAGTGATGCCCGTCACTGACCCTAGTCAGAACGAAGAAGGTTAGAGCCGAATATCCGGCTCCAGATCCAGTCTAGCAGCAACTCACTCCACACTCTGCTTGTCCTCGTTACAGAGGACTTTCCTGACACAGGCCCCTGCAATCTTTCTTATAGCCATCACTGCATTAAGAGACTGTCTTAACTTGCCTTGTCTTCTCCTCTCTCCCTCCCAACAATTCCTTCTGTGGTAAGACCTTTATTTTGTATTCTCTCTGCCCGTTTCATACTGATGTCAACATAATCCCTACTTTCTTAGTTGACAGTGATATTCAAGTCTTTCTCAAGTTAAGAAGTAAAGGGTTTTTCTGGCACGAAGACTAAGATTTTTTATTCACTGTGCTAATCTAGAAAGCCCAACAACATCTGATCACATAGAAGATTATTGGTTCAACAAAAAAAAACGATCTTTGTTGGTTACAAGGGATGGGAGGGGTGGGGGGGAATACTAAATAGACAATAGACAAGTAGTAACTTTGGTGAATGGTAAAACAGTACACAATACTGGGGAAGCCAGCACAACTTGTACAAGGAAAGGTCATGGAATCTCCATAGACACATCCAAACTCCCTGAGGGACTGAGTTGCTGGGCGGAGGGCTGTGCGGACCATGGTCTCAGGGAACATCTAGCTCAATTGGCATAACATAGTTTATAAAGAAAATGTCCTACATTCTACCTTGGTGAGTAGCATCTGGGATCTTAAAAGCCTATGAGCAGCCATCTAAGATACTCCACTGGTCTCACCTCTTTGGGAGCAAGGGAGAATGAAGAAAACAAGATACAAGGGGAAGTTTAGTCCAAAGGACTAATGGACCACAACTACCACAGCCTCCACCAGACTGAGTCCAGTACAACTGGATGGTGCCTGGCTACCATCGACTGCTCTGACAGGGATCACAACAGAGGGTGCTGGACAGAGCTGGAGAAAAATGTAGAACAAAATTCTAACTCACAAAAAAATACCAGACTTACTGGCCTGACAGAGATTGGAGAAACCCTGAGAGTATGGCCCCCAGACACCCTTCTAGCTCGGTAATGAAGTCACGCCCGAGGTTCAACCTTCAGCCAAATATTAGACAGCCCCATAAAACAAAAAGTGACTAATGGGGCACAACAGTCCAGGGACAAGGACTAGAAGGCAGGAGGGGACAGGAAAGCTGGTAATAGGGAACCCAAGGTTGAGAAGGGACAGTGTTGACATGCAATGGGGTTGTTAACCATTGTCATAAAACAATATGTGTACTGTTTAATGAGAAACTATTTGTTCTGTAAACCTTAATCTAAAGTACAATAAATAAAATAGAAATTAAAAAGATTATTGGTTCAGCATGGCAAGGGAAGAAGAAAAGAAATCTTCTCCTTAAGAAGAGTCCCAGAAAGTTCTCATGCTGATTTGAGGGCAGACAGGGGAAGACTTCAGAGTGGGCCCAGAAGAAGGAAAAGAGCCTCCAGACCCCAAGCTCCCGCCACGACTGCCATCTGCGCACCCAGACACCCCTACTCACCCCTCTCCTCTGGATGGCCTTCCGGATCAGAGCCACCACGTCTCTGCCCTCCACACCACTGCACTTGAACCCCTTAGTCCATGAGACCAGGTAACTCTGGAAAAGGACCAAGGAATGAACATCAATTCCCCCCAACCAAAACTTGGATCACATACCTGAAACAAGACCCATTAACAAAGACTGCTGTCACTGGGCTAAACGAAACTAAATCGTGAATAAGTCTGTATATTGCTTTCTGACTAGCCTAGGAAGGAGAAACTCAGGTCCCATCAGAGACCAGGAAAGTGGAGATTAAATGAATGACTCCTTCATGATTTACTGCCCAAAGACGTCGAAAAAGGAAGTCACAGAACTGTCAAAATGAGATACTTTTATCCTCACATCAATGTCAGCCACCCAAAAGACATTAACTTCCCAGTTATCTTTCTTTCTAGGATCTTTACCATAACACTATATATAGGTCAGGTTCTTCCTGACTAATTTCTCGGTCCTGTTCCCTGAGAGGGATAAAGATAACGTGAAATGGGGGGAAGGGTGTAAAGACCTCCTCATGCTCTGATACTTTGTCACCATCCCTTCACCCCTACACACACACACACACACACACACATACACACAAAGTATTAAGGATTTAGTCACTTAGAAGGACAGAACTCTCAATATTCACACCTTGTCTGCACAATCCATCAGTCCTTCCCATCCTCCCAGCCCCAAGGACGAAGCAATGAAAGTTGTCTGAAGAGCCCATCTTACCTCATCTAGTTTAGTCTGGTGGCAGGGGAATGAGAAGGTAAAACCCAGCGGGAGCTTCTTGTCTTTAATTTGTAGCTGGTCCATGAAGTTGGCCAGGCACTCGGCAATGTGGTCAAACAGCTGAGGGCACGAAGCACAGGAAGATGAGCAGGGAGGCAGAAGAGCACAGACGGGAAGGACATGGGTTTTGAGCTCAGACAGGAGCTAGCTGAATGTGGGCCAGATCCTTATTCCTCTAAGGTCTTTATTTGCTCAACTATAAAATGGGGGTAATAACAATACCTGCCCTTCCAGAGTTACTGGAAGGATTAAATGAGTCAATACATATACATATAAAGTGCTTAACACTAGGTATCACCCATTAAATGTTGTCTTCCACTTAAGACATTTATCCAAACCACTGTCAAAATAACCCTATGAAGCAGAGGAAACCATGGCCAGAGCTAACCAGGAAGTCCTCTTGTGCCCTGGGAACAGAACATCCCTTGGTGGCCCTGTCAGAAACCCCATGACATGGGTGCACAGCTGATTATTTCACCAGAAAGGACAGACCGTCTTAACTGCCAAGAAGTATTTTAGCTCCCTTGTCTCTTGTGAGATGGGGGAGGGGACGAGGGCAGGGATGGGACACTCTGTCTTGGTATTCTGTGAGCTAACCTAGCAAAAACAAGCAACTTTTATTCTATATCTTCATTCCATTCTAGAAAAATAATCTCCTGGGGGCAATTCAAAGGAGTTATCTTTATTTTCTGACTCCAAGGTGGAACACCTGATGAGTCTATAAAAAGTCTGAAGAATAAATAGGGTTTGATAGGTAACCTCACAACCCTGACCACGCTGAGCGGGATCTGCAGCTCCCAAGCTTGCTGAGGCCTGTTACAAAGAGCTGTATTCACAATAATCCAGGTTTGTCAATCAGCCCCAAAGCCCACAACTCCCTGGACTCCTTCTTGGTAGCTCAGTATCCTTAAGGAGCTGATGAGTCTCCAAACATTTAGACTCTGAGGCCAGGAGCACCTGGTGCAAAAAGCAGGCAGGCACCAAAGAGGATGAGTAGACTCCAAGGGCCAGGTTGATCATATAGCAAAATCTAAAAAGTCAAAGGGGGCTGGGGAGGACAACACTCCTCTTTCTCCTCAGGCGGAAGCAAGAAAGATTAGACTAAACAGTGGTTCTCAAAGTGTGGTCCTAGACCAGCATCATCATCATCACCTGATAACTTGTTGGAAATGCAAATCCTAGGGCCCCACCCCAGACCCACTAAATCAGAAACTCTGGGGGTGGGGCCCAGCAGTCTATCAACAAGCCCTCCCAGTGATCCTAATGCACAGTGGTTCTCAAACCACAGCACCAAACCACAAAAATATCTACATCTAAAAGTAAACTGAGAGGTATGGGGACAGGGGATTTGAGAGGCCCACTGGCTTTCCTGACGCCTGGTGCATGCTCAGTGAGAGGGATCCAAGAAGACCCACATGTGGAAGGTGACCAGCTCTAAGTGAGCTTCCTGCATCGATACTGTCCCTTTGTCCAGCTTGATCTCTTGCAAAATTAGGCACAGCTGATGCTGAACCTCCAAACCAAAACATTCTCAAGAAACAGATAAACCACAGGGCTCCCTGACTAAGAGAGGAGGAGCACCAGCGCACATGTGCCAGCAACCTTGAGCAGAGGGCAATGATTTTCATATGTAAATATGATTTCTAGACATTCAGCAACACCCGGTCTCCTGTAGGGAAGTGGACCGGAGATAAATTATCATATAGTTAAACAAATTCCCAGCACCTTCTTCCTGGTGCTCTAGTCAAAATGATCTTTGGTACAAATAGTTTTTATTCAAAAGAGGGAAGTTGTAGAAGCTGTGCAAAGAGATAAGGTCAATCATCAGAGATAGTGGGGGCCTTCAGAAAGCAGAAAAGCAAGTGGTTTCCCCTCACCCAGCCCTGACCACTTCTCCCTTTTCACTTGTGCTTCCAACAGAGGGAGGGAGAGAAAAAAACAGAGGGACAGTGAAAAGGTATTAAATACTGCACTGTCCAATATGGCAACCAAGTCCCTGGGTGGTGCAAAGCCAAAAGGTTGATGGTTCGAACCCACACAGAGGCACCTCAGAAGACAGGCCTGGCTGGCGATCTGCTTCTGAAAGGTCACAGCCTTGAAAACCCTATGGAGCAGTTCTACTCTGCACACATGGGGTCACCATGAGTTGGAATCGAGCAACAACAACAAGCCACATGTGGCTATTTAAATTCATTAGAATTGTTAACAATTCAAAATTTATTTCCTCAGTCACACCAGCCACATTTCAAGCACTCAACGACCACAGGTGGCTAGTGGCTACCATTTTGAGCAGGGCAGATATAGAACCGTTCTATCACTGCAGAAAGTTCCATTGGACAGTGCTGGGTTAGAAGAACTTGCACCTATTTAAAAGTGGGAGACAGGAGACCGTCTATTCCTTGAATTGAAAGGGTATCTCTTTTTCTATTAACTGAAGATCAAAAGGGTATAATGCTCGGCAGAAGAGCTAGTACCTTCCTGCAGTAAAAAAGCACAAAGAGCAACATTTTATGAAGTTAAAATGGTTTTCTTTTCCTTATTGGTCTGAGAATCTGCTCACTCTCTCTCCATGTGATACATGTTTAAAGTTTAAGCGGATGCTGTTAAAATTTGTAATTCACTGATCTTGAAAACCAAACCAAAAAACCTATTGCCATCAAGTCGATTCTGACTCAGAGTGACCGGACAGGACAGAGTAGAACCGCCCCATAGGGATTCCAAGGAGCAGCTGGTGGATTCGAACTGTGCCATCATGGTCCCTCACTGCTCTTGGTGGAAACTAAAAACACAGCAATGTGCTAGAAGGCAGATTTTACCCAGGGACCCAACTGCCCAGCTTCATAGTTCTTCAAGAACTTTGTAAGTTTTGGGTTTGGTGATTTGGTCTTGGTTTTAACTAAATTTTATTTTTAAAACTGATTTATTTTCCTCCAATTAAAAGATGGATATCCGAGACCAAAATTTCAAAAATGAAAAATAGAAGGGGAGAAAAGCATCACTAAAATGTCGTTGGGTGCCGTAGGGTCAGTTCTGACTCATAGCTACCCTATGTACACAACGAAACACTGCCCAGTCCTGTGCCATCCTCACAATCATCACTATGTTTCAGCCCACTTTTGCAGCTACTGTGTCAATCCATCTCGTGGATGGTCTTCCTCTTTTTCACTGACCCTCTACTTTACCAAGCATGATGTCCTTCTCCAGGGACTGGTCCCTCCTGATAACATGTCCAAAGTATATGAGACGATGCCTCGCCATCCTCGCTTCTAAGGTGCATTCTAGCTGTACTTCTAAGATAGATTTGTTCATTCTTCTGGCAGTCCATGGTATATTTAATATTCTTCGCCAACACTATAATTCAAAGGCATCGATTCTTCTTCGGTCTTCTTTAATCATCGTCCAGCTTTCGCATGCATATGAGGCAATTGAAAACATCATGGCTTGGGTCAGGTGCACCTTAGTCCTCAGAGTGACATCTTTTCTTTTTAACACTTTAAAGAGGTATTTTGCAGCAGACTTGCTAATGCAATACGTCGTTTGATTTCTTGACTGCTGCTTCCATGGGTGTTGACTGTGGATCCAAGTAAAATGAAATCCTTGACAACTTCAATCTTTTCTGTTTATCATGATGTTGTTTATTGGTCCAGTTGTGAGGATTTTTGTTTCCTCTATGTTGAGGTATAATCCATACTGAAGGCTGTAGTTCTTCATCTTCATCAGTAAGTGTTTCAAGTCTCCTTTGCCTTCTGCAAACAAGGTTGTGTCACCTGCATATCACAGGTTGTTAATGAGTCTTCCTCCAATCCTGGTGCCACATTCTTCTTCATACAGCCCATTTTATCGGATTATTTGCTCAGCATACAGATTGAATAGGTATGGTGAAAGGATGTAACCCAGCTGCACATCTTTCCTGATTTTAACCCACACAGTATCCCCTTGTTCTATTCAAACGACTGACTCTTGGCCTATGTACAGGTTCCTCATGAGTACAATTAAGTGTTCTGAAATTCCCATTCTTCACAATGTTACCCATAATTTGTTATGATCCACACAGTCAAATGCTTTTTCACAGTCAATAAAACACAGGTAAACATCTTTCTGATATTCTCTGCTTTCAGCCAAGATCTGTTTGACATCAGCAATGATATCCCTGGTTTCACGTCCTCTTCTGAATCTGGCTTGAATTTCTGACAATTCCGTCGATGTACTCCTGCAACTGTGTTTTAATTATCTTCAACAAAATTTTATTTGCATGTGATATTAATGATATTGTTCTATAATTTCTACGTTCTGTTGGATCGTCTTTCTTTGGAATGGGCACAAATATGGATCTCTTCCAGTCAGTTGAGCAGGTAACTGTCTTCCAAATTTCTTGGCATATACAAGGGAGTGCTTCCAACTTACATCTGTTTGTTGAAACATATCAATTGGTATTCCGTCAATTCCTGGAACCTTGTTTTTTGCCAGTGCCTTCAGTGCGGCTTGGACTTCTTCCTTCAATACCATCATGTTTTGGTCATATGCTACCTCCTGAATTAGTTGAACATAGACCAATTCTTTTTGGTACAGCGACTCTGCGTATTCTTTCCATCTTCTTTTGATGCTTCCTGTGTCATTTAATATTTTCCCGGTAGAATCCTTCAATATTGCAACTCGAGGGTTGGAGTTTTTCTTCAGTTCTTTCAGCTTGAGAAATGCTGGGTGTGTTCTTCCCTTTTGGTTTTCTAGCTCTAGGTCTTTGCACATTTTGTTATAATACTTTACTTTGTCTTCTCAAGCTGCCCTTTGAAATCTTCTGTTCAGGTCTGTTACTTCATCACTTCTTCCATTTGCTCAAAAGCAAGTTTCAGAGTCTCTTCTGACATCTATTTTGGTCTTTTCTTTCTTTCCTGTCTTTTTAATGACCTTTTGCTTTCTTCTTGTATGACGTCCTTGATGTCATCCCACAACTCATCTGGTCTTCGGTCATTACTGTTCAATGCATCAAATCTATTCTTGAGATGGTCTCTGAAATCAGGTGGGAAATACTCAAGATTGTATTTTGGCTCTCATGGACTTGT